AACTGGGTACCGTATTGAAAATATTGTTTCAACCACGTCCATTGAAAATATCAGCTGCCTCGACGTGTAAATCACCAATTGAAATATGATCATATTAAAAATTCTATCACCTACTCGAGGGGTTCCGTTTAAAATTAGGGTTCATTGTATCCTAGATTATGAATTAATTATTATTTTGATTGTATTATCAACATCATAATAATGCATTTACTTAACGTAAACTATTTTCTGCAACAAACCTTACTCTTTACGAATTTTTGAATAAATTTGTTTAAAGTTAACTATACCATAATGAAACGGATCCGGCATGGATCATTTAAATGGATTCTGTGCTGATCGATCATATATGGTGTGGCGATTTTTAATCATATCCGTTCAAAAAGCCTGATTTATTCCTTATCAGTCCTCAGGAAATTCTGATCCAGATCGGACCCTATACTGAACTAATTTCCAGTAGAGATGTTTTTAACATCAGCACTACATTGAAAAAGCCGCATCATCTTTATAGGTACTTTACAAAAAAGTTTTTTTAAAATTCTTTTTTTTTTGTAAATATTGATTACAAGCAAATTATAACAAAATCACACCAAATAAAGTTAATGTGGTCTATTAATGAATTAATTCAACAATTTAAAACTTATCACAGAGATACTATTAAAATTTGTAAGAATTATTGAGGACATGTCCTAACTTAAAGCAAATAAAATATTAATTAGAATATTAAGTTAAGTAACAAGATCAGAAAATACAAATTCCACTTCAAAACGAGTGCTGTAAAAGCCGTGACGTCACATATTGTAATCCCTTATGACAATTGGTGAGAGTGGACAAAAAGGCAAGTACATAACGCAAACAGTGGACTGTTCCTCATTACTATTATAATGATTATATTCACCATCATAAAAAAACACATAAACTAAAATAATTTTATTNTTGTTATTTCATGAATTATTTTGAAAACATGCAGTTAAAATATTCTTTGGAATATGGACTAAGTAATATAAAATTGTTTTCGCGTTCGTGTAAAAATACGTTCACTTTCAAGGACTCTCAAGGTGACTACAACTCTGGCAAACAGCTAGTCTTATTGTATCGAACATGTTTGTCGTTCTTTATCGTTATCTCTTCTTCTCTAAAATCCAGCATGAAAAAACTGGACGAATACAGTTGTTTATCGTCCAAATCACAACTTGCTTTGTGTTATGTATGCATACAAAAACAGTCGAACACATTGAAAAAAGTCCTTAATAGATTTAGATTTTCTTTAAAGATACATACATGATAATAATGTCGTACCAAGTACCTATAGATTATTTTATTTTAAAGAGCATGCAAACATGTACAAAATGAATTTAAAAAAGAACTTTAGTTTTTTCTTTTTTAATTTTATTACAAAAATATACATTATTGATGTCGTGCTAGGTATTCAAATTATACATGAACTGAGGTCATTATTTCCTTTTTTTATTTTGTATGTACTTCAAAAATAATTAAACCAGTAATAAAAATTGTATAATAAGGCAAGTAGATTAGTTCATCCAAATTCTAATGATGAAAAAAGTAATATTGTAATTTATTACACTCAGGTTATTCGTAAGGCAACCAAATTACAAAATCAATAAAATATTAATGTTATTGTTAGGACAAGCAATAAATTAATAAAGTACCTTATATTTTCAAGAATAATAAATGCAAACTAGAAAATGCAGAAAAATCAGATATTTGTAAATTAATAGGTGCCTAGGTCTTGTAATTAGTACTGCACTGTCTTCAATATCAGAGGGTATCTAAAGCTAGAAAATCCACAAAAACCAGGTATTTATAAATTAAAATTTGCCTGGTCCTTGTAATTAGTACTACATAGGCAGAGGTTGTAATACATACTAAAATAAATAAAATATTTTTATTATTGCTGAATGACCTTTTATTGCTATTAAACACGTTTAGATTCCCCTCTACCCTCTCTTAAACTTATTTTTTTGTATATGAATAAGCTATAATTTCTATGAAATATTCAGTGTAAAATTCAATGGTGGTTTCAAAATTTTATAGATGTATGCAATTATAGTGTTATTTGTTTTTTTTGTCTTCCACCAATGGATTTCTATACGCAGTTTGGGGGTATCGCTGGGCATCACATCCCTACTAGAAATTGGTTCTGGGAACTCGGATTATGATCAGACCTGGATCAGATTTTCCTGATCTCTATCTGTTGGTTCAGCCATCTGATTGATCAGAATATAGTATCATTTCCCTTGATTCGTCTATCTGATCAATTTTTGATCAAAGTGTCTCTTGATCCAGTCATCTGATCAATTCCTTATCAGAATCTAATACTACAAATCTTATTACTGTTTCAGTACGTTGTTTAAAGCAAGATTGTATCCGATGTCCTGAACTGGATCATAATACAGAATTTAATTTTTTATCTGATCCATTCTGTATGTAATATTGCTTATCAAACAATAAATTTATTACTAATGTTATGACGAAAATTATTATTATTTATTGTCAAATTAATATGTAAAAACAAATTTAATCTCGATCCTTTGAACGGATTCGATATAGATCTTTTGGCCAGATCGGACTTAGATCTATTGAATGGATCGGGCATGGATCATCGAAATTGATCTAGCATAGATTTCTGAAACGAATCCAGCACAAATATCTTTTAAACGATCCTGTGTGGATCATTTATGGCATGACGAATTTTAATCATATCTGGGTCAGGAAGCCTGATTTATCTTTACGAAATCCTAATCCGGATCGAACACTATAGTGAACTAATTTCTAGTTGGGAAGGTAGACCAGAAGGTCCTCTTCAGCCTTCTTTCAGGAAGATGAGATGGACGAAATTTAGACAGATGAGAATGAAAGATTATCTGTAGAATACTATTGTGCCAGCATTTACCAAAGTGTTCTAAGGAAAAACTTGGAGCGAACCGGTGTGCTCCCGAATGCTAAGCAGGGGCCCTAAACGTCTAGAGTCTAAACCATGACGCTCAGTATATTATTATTCGATTACTAGATTTTAGCCAAGGCTTCGCTTGCGTTGATGTATTAAATACGTATCAAAAATCACCAAGGACCACATAAAACTAATTTTTCTTTTTTGGACCAAAGGTACCCTTTGTCCTTTTCTGTGTACCTAACAATGTGTTTACAAAATTTCATGATAATCGATCGAGCAGTTAAGGCGTGAAATCGNGATTATATTCACCATCATAAAAAAACACATAAACTAAAATAATTTTATTAAATTATTATACGTATTTGGGATCCAAGATTGCTTAGATTTTAGTTTTACTGTTCAACGCACGCGGCGCTCTTATCAGCGTTTCAGCATATTTGGAACAACAATTTTACAAATTATACATAAAATAACGCTAATAGTTTACAATTTCTATTAATCTTATTTACTTTTATTACTGTTATTTTTACTACTATTATTATTATTCACTGTTATAAAAATCACGTAAATTAAAATAATTTTATTAAATAAGAATACGCATATAGGATCCAAGATAGCATAGATTTTAGTTGCACAGTCCAACACACGCGGCGCTATTATCAGCGTTTAGGTAAATCTACAGCAGCAAGTTGTTACCTTTAAACGGTCTCATCGTCATTGTGAACGCGTACCAATTCGTTAGCTTTTCGGATTATACATAAAACAACGCTATTAGTTTACGATTTCTTGAATCTCGGTACGGTGGTAAAAACTCATAGAAACAGTTGAAGTAATTTTTGTTTGGTGAAGTGTGCGTTATTTGGACATTATTGTCGGACATTCACTTGTGTTAAAATCGCGCGGTGTACATGCAAATGTAAAAACATTGACCGAAATCATTTTATAGACAGAAACTCTTTTCTAGTGGCCAAATGGAATTTATATCAATGTTTATGCTATTGTAATGCTTGGTAAGTGCATCTTTCGTTAAAAAATATTATTAACTACTAACCCAATATATAAGTAGATTTGAAACTACATTTGTTGATTGGAAATAGGCTGTGTAATGTATGAAATTTTAGTACAATTTTTCTACTATAAAATACAGGAGTAGATGCATGGGTTTTGTTTTCTGTTAGTGTTCTATTTTAAATAAATGTAATTGGTTTAGGTCAAAAATTCATACAGAAATAACGCTTTTGATGTTATTTTTTTATCATACACGTTTATTTGATAATTGTAATCACAAACCATTACACTTGTTCACCCATTGACATTAAATGAATACTTCTATAAGTACGGTTAGTACAATAAGCGACCCCCCATTCCATATCCAAACTAATTAATTGTTTTGAGGTGGGATACAAGGCATATTCGTTTATCTTTTTCTGCCATTGACAACGTAACAGCAAATCCAATTTTTTTAAAGCCTACAATGAATAGGTACAAGTATTTGAATCAATTTAAAATTGAGGAATATTTCTTAGATTATATGACTACCTAGTAAATTATAACAGGAAAGGCAAAATATTTACAGAAGATAGAAAATATACAATTTTGTGTAAATTGGGGACCGTATTGAAAATATTGTTTCAACCACGTCCATTGAAAATATCAGCTGCCTCGACGTGTAAATCACCAATTGAAATATGATCATATTAAAAATTGTAGCACCTACTCGAGGAGTTCCGTTTAAAATTAGGGTTTATTGAAACCTAGCTCGTATTGGAGTTATTAAAATTATTTCGTAATTGGGTTCTTGTGAATTCAATTGTTAACATTAGACCCTTGTAAGGTCCCAGGATTAAAAAATACTGAAACTCACATTTGAACGTATTTGAAAAATGGGCCACACTTTTCGAAAACTGGGTACCGTATTGAAAATATTGTTTCAACCACGTCCATTGAAAATATCAGCTGCCTCGACGTGTAAGTCACCAATTGAAATATGATCTTAATAAAAATTGTAGCACCTACTCGAGGAGTTCCGTTTAAAATTAGGGTTTATTGAAACCTAGCTCATATTGGAGTTATTAAAATTTTTTCGTAATTGGGTTCTTGTGAATTCAATTGTTGACGTTAGACCATTGTAAGTCTCAAAGGTTAAAAAATATTGGAACTCACATTTGAACATGTTTGGAAAAAGGGCCACATTTTGACATTTTTAATTATTAATGGTGGTTAATATGAAATATTAATGTGAAAATTAATTTTCAAATTTCCATCCATTACAAACTACCTCAGGTTAATGAGGGAAAATTTTTGTTACTGTTATCTCACCCCCGCCGGGAATCACTGGCGCATAAAGCCAAAAGTCTTGGGTTCGATTCCCGGCAGGGGTGCGACAACAGCAACAAAATATAGAGTTTGTAGTGGATGGAAAATTGAAATTGAATTTTCACATTAATGTCGGCCACATTTCTCGAAAACTAGAGTAGCCTTCAGGTTAAAGAATTTGTGAACAGTAATCTAACTTAAGTCTACCTCTACACTCTTAACCTCACTTTCTGCTTCTAATTACTTTGATAAAACATTGCACTAAAATGCGAAACAACTATTTCTCCTACATCCTAGTTTTGATTCCCTAATTGTGTTGTGTAACAAAATTTTATCTAAATATCATGGTTTCAATTAATGATTTACCTTCCAACAGGGTGTCGGCACATTCCCAGTTATGTGTATTCTTATTTGACTGAGTATTTTCTGGAGTGGTACCTTCAACGTTATTACATACAAGCCGCCATACTTTAAAAATTCGCTGTAAACCCTTCGCTGGTATAAAGCTTGACTATTGAAAAATATCGCAGCGGTTTTAGCAGGGCAGGTCATAACTCTTTGCCAAAAGTGAGTTATAATTCCCAATTGAGATCCTTCGAGATAAATCAAGCAAGTTGCACCATTATCTTTGAGAAAAAGTTAGAGTTAGATTAGATTTTTTTTTATAATTGGATGTTACTTAAGGTTATTGGGAATGCGAATCAATTGCTCATCGACATACGGTACATATTTTGTCATTTCTAGGGATTTTTATTATAACAGGAAGATAAGGAAACGTACCCATACTACGTGACCCATTTTTTACAATTTTTTATTCCTCTTCCCCCATCGCTGACCTCCCGCAGTATATGGCAAGACCCCCTTCCCCTTCTAGTTTTCACGTAGTAGTTCGCAAATATGGTTTTAAATAATCTTTTGGAAACACAAAGTTGAAAAAAATTAATTTGATTAATATTTGTCTTTATTTACACGGCTCTTACCGCGTGACGCCAAATTCAAATAGAGCTCGAAAAGTTGCGAGATTTTCCTAGAAGATATTGACTACGTGACGAAAATCTAAGTAACGCCCCCTTCGCGGCCATGTGAAAAACTAAAAAAAAACTTTTGGGTGTTTCATTCCCACCAGCCAGTAATGCTGGTGGGCGGGCAGTCCTTCCGAACTACGCCGGAAGGTAGGGCGGAAGGCCCTCTTCAGCCTGCTTTCAGGAATCGTAGGAATGGGTGGGTGGTGGTTCGGGTGAGAAAGACGAGATGGACGAAATAAAGACAGAAGAGAATGAAAGATTATCTGTGGAATATTACTGCCTCAGCATTTGCCTAAATGATCCAAGGAAACCACAGAAAAACTTGGACCAAGGCAGACGGACCCGGAATCGAACCGGCGTCCTCCCGAATGCTAAGCAATGGTCTAAACCTCTAGGCCATGCCGCTCGGTATGGTCATGTGACCAAGGGTGGTATATATAAAGACCCCCCCCTCTTTCCCTGGCGGGTCACGTAGTATGGGTACATACCCTAAGCTGGAAGTTTACCAATTTAGTTATGACTTACGTTGACTCTAATTGATTATGCTTAAACATGGACTACAGAGCAGCATATTACGTATAAGGATAGAGTACTGTGGAGACCCGATTATCCGTACCTCAGCTACACTAATTCGTGATTATCCGGATTGCAAAATACGAGCAAATCTCTTTGTCACTCTTTGTAGTCTAGGCAAACTGCAGTCATGATATTTTAGTTATGGTACTGGTCAACGGGGAGGGGCGAAGACGCAGTCAATAAACTCTAAACACAATTGTGCAGAAACCACCCGTCTTTCCCTAAAAGACTTCACAACCCTTGTCTAAATTGACACTATACTACATTCCATGAACTTTGATTCGCACAAACTATCTCGATGACGTAAACGCAATCTCGTATTAATTTTACAGTAACCTTGAAGGACGAGAATGCCTGTTTTTAGCTATTTTCCAATTTTGGTAGTTATAGCCTGTAAAATTGAAAATGGTCCCTGAGATCGTATCAAGGTCGTCAAAACGTTAGAGAACCCGCCGGTAAAACCTATCATGAAATTTTGTACCCACATTGTCAAGTCACTGAAAAGGACACGGGGTACCTTTTATCCAGAAAAGAATACTGCCCCCAGGGATAGAAAAATCAGTTTTATGTAGTTGTCGGTGATCTTTCATATGTATTTAGGACATCAAAACTCTAGAGAACCCACGGGTAAAACATATCATGAAATATTGAACACACATTGCCAGGGTACCGAAAAGGTAGAATAGAATACTGTTCCCCAGGGATCGAAAAATTAGTTTTATGTGGTCGTAGAAGGTCTTCGACACGTATTTAGGGCATCAAAATGCGATAGGACCTGGGGGTAAAACCTACCATGAAATTTTGTGCATACATTGTCAAGGCTACAGAAAAGGACATAAGGTACCTTTATTCAGAAAAAAAGTACTGTTTCCAAAGGAATAAAAAAAATTGGAGTGAAGCTGCGGTTAAAGCTTACGATTAGTATAATAATTTTAAAACATCAATGTGAAATTAGTTTTTCGGGTAGACCATGCTTTGTTTCTGCTACATATAAACACGTGTAATTAATAACAAGTAATCAAACAATTGGATGAAAATTCAAGCAATTATTTATGAATATCATTCGCATACCTTTTATGAAAAAACAAACTACATTAACAAAAATAATACAGAAAGATATAGGTATTTATTTTACCAAGTAGAAATCCTGTGACGGCATCGTCAACTTCTACATTACTTGATTCATTTGCACCTTCTCTGGGTTTGTAGTGTCTGGTATTAGCGTGTGCAAAATTAAAAGGTATTCCCTTGTCATGAAATACAGATCGATTATGTTCAATGATGTCGACGAGCAAAATTGCTGCAAATTCTAAATCGTATATCTCCATTACTAGACGCCTATAAAGAATGTTATTCAGAACCTGAAAGGAATGTGACAAATTTAACAAAATTCATACGTACACCTATACATATCTAATGTTAAAAGTTTGTCCTAATGCAAAATGCGAACTATTTACTATTAAGAATGAACAGTGAACATGGCCAGGGAGAAACCATTCTTTTTATTTTTAGTATCCCAAGTAGCTGGCTAACTATTAAGGGCCATTTATGTAGACAATATGCAAAAGAAAGCATCCCCTATTAGTGAACTAATTGTAGTGCAATGGCTGTGAAGACTTCAATGATTAATTTGTGCGGTTTCCGATAGTCGATTGACTATCTGAATGATTCGACGAAATCCATTGCCTGCGGTTGTATTAGAACATTTGGAGTTATGGAAGTTGTGTATAAAGATCATTTATAAAAAAGAAGATCGACTGGAAGAACTCTGCTTAAGGTTTTGATGATTAGTGGTTCTACAAATTCGACATCGAGCAAATCACAAAATAAGGAATAGAAAGGTACAGATGAACCACGAACGCAAAAGAGGAACCAAATCTTGCTGTTGATTTATTTTATATTTGTGGGGTTGCCCGTGATCAATTTCTTCCTGAAGGATAAACAGTAAAGACGACTTTCTACGAAAGGTTTCTAGGGGTCATATGCAATATATTGTGTGATGGCTGCATCACTACAAACAAAATAGCGATTATCTAGATCATAATAGAAATATCGTCCCTCCAAAGTTTATTTTCGGGGATAGCAGTGGGGGGATGTGGAGACCGTAGAATGCGAAACGGCGAAACATCTAAAAGAACTCCAGGGATATTTTGAAAAATGTGAACATATCGATATACTCTAAATTGTGATAAGTAAAGTTCTCGCAATCGTAGTCCCTGTGTTCATTAAACAAACTACGTTTTGGCAGACTCCTGCCGCCATGGTTTCATCCTTCATAATATATTAAATACTGGCTAGAGTTTTGGAAGTATTCGTGCATTTTTGGTCTGACTTTTAGGAAGTAAAATATCACTAAGTTAATTAAATGTGATACCTGTAAAACTGGGGCCTGCGGCATAAAAGCCGTAACGGAAATCTTCAACGACGTTCCCCTACTTATTAGGACTTCTTCAGACAAGGCATTGCTGACTTCTCTTGTTTTCACTTGACGTAAATTCACTTCGTTAACGGTTATCGTGTCTTGAAACTCGTAATTCGCGAACAAGGTACAATAACTTGCGCCACTTAAGCTGTTGGGGTTGTGCAACGGTTGAGTCATTTTGATACACCATGGCTGCTGTAACAGTCCGTACAAGTCGAAGCAAGCGACAGCTAAGACGATATAATCCAGCTCAGCTCCACCATCTGATATCTGTGCTGGTATTTTGGATTTTTCACTAATAAGGTAGTCGTCCGTTTTCGTACCAAACAGAGAAGGTTGTGCCTTCGGTTTGTCATTTTTTACAACGCCTCTCAACTACGAAATTTCGTAAGAATATGCGATAAAAGTGTTTAATCTTTGATTCTAGTTAAATGAGAAAATGAAATAAAAAAGTAAATAGATATGCAAATTTAGAAAATAGAACCTACACTACTCATTTATCTCATTTTGAGTATCTACAGCTAGGTCTTCGAACAACATTGAGGCTTCATCTTCTTTTTTTTTTATTAAATTATGAAATTATAAATAAAAACATTTTGAGATTCACATTGGAGAATCCACCATAGTCAATACAGAAAAATAATGCATCAAAACTTAAAACTAAAGAAGTAAAACGTTTTTTAGAAACTTCTTTTTTTAATCTTTGACAAATTTTTAATTGTCTTTAATGTACAGGCTGTCCTTTTTATAAACTACCCTCCTGAATATCTTGACAAAGGAAATACCAATCCAAAAATAAGCTGTGCAAAAGTTCTCGGGTTAGGAGGGGACATTTGGATGGTGACCTACAATTTGAGCGTAACTTTTATTTAAAAGCCAAATCGAAAATCTTAATTTCGAAGAGCATAAAAATTTACGTACAAGTAGGTTTTGGTAGCTTTCTTTTTGAATAGCGTTCAGAGGTTATTTCAATTATACAAACACTAAGCCACATTGAACAGTCAGAAAATAAATTTTAATAGAGAATAACTTCATTTTTAGAGTTATTGACAGTACAACTCAAAATATCAAATTAGTGACATTATCCAGTATTACATCAAGCTATTCTTCGTGGTTATTCAATATTATTTAGGTCTTTATCTTGTCTTTTGTCTTGTCACTGAAGTAACCAACACGAAGGTCATTCAAGGAAACCGAAAGTCAAATTGTTGGTCCGATGTCCTTTTTTGACTGGTTATTTTTGAATTGGTGACTCCCATAACCCATGGGGATGAGAAATGGGACACCCCATATAAAAACATTCAACTTTTTGAAAACATACAAATTGATTTGTGCTGTTACTTACTTCAACGAATAGTCCTTGTGTTCGTAGCATTTCTATAAATTCGAAGGGGCATGGGTGCTTCAAGAAATGAACATGGGATTCATTAAATCGGATCACATTCGCTACTTCCTTGGTGGCTGTTTTACAAAGTGAAACACGCGGAATATTCATGTACACATACACCGACGTAATGCTTAAAAGTTATTTTTTACAAATATTAGTTGCCATTACAAACTTTTTAAAGGTTAGGGTAAAAGTGGGATAGATGCCCCACTTTCTGTAAGCTGACTATAACTTTTTTTTTTAAAGCACTATTCGAGTGAGTTAACTATTTGTAACAACTATAGTCCTTATACTTACTATCTACTCATATCATTATTCAATGCATACCGTAGATTTATAGATATTCGGCTCTAAAAAAAACTTATTGTTTGAGGATAGACGCCTACTGTATGGGGTAGTTGCCCCTGGCAAAATTTCGACATGAGTATAGATGCCCTACAATGGGATAGATGCCTCCGTAATAAAAAAAAAATTCGTAGAAAATTAAATAAAATGTTTATTTGCTTTCAATCATTCTTTGGGTAAACTTAGCAACTTAACAACGTCTATTAAAAATTATTTAAAACTTTACAGAACTAAATTTAGGAATAATAAAACTTAAAACAAATCCGTCCCTTAAGACTTCTTTGGGGAAAAACAAAGCTTCCTTCTTAAACAAAAATAACAGTAATCAAAATTTTCAAATAATCAACAAATATAGAGATACTGTTTACTTTGGCCAGGTTACTTATTCTTTGAATTCACTTTGGCCAGGTTAGCTTTTAGAGCTGCAAGCTTCTTCTTGTGTCCACATCTATTACAGTAATCGCCATATAGAGTGCAATCTTCGTGTAAGCCTATAGCCTAAGTACCTGTGAATAAGTCGTAGAGGATATATGCCTCTAAGGGCGTCTATACTCAGTCAATAGTGGGGCCTCTATCCTTTTTAGTAGGGATAGACGCCCCAGCAAATAAATAAAAATACTTAAATAATTTCGTAATTTTATAAACACACCATAAATATAAATGATACATACTATTTAAATAACAATACACACTTAAAACTTACCTTCGAAAACGAAAGTTCTGAACACGTCAAAATGTCACTGTCACAAGAATCATGCAAGCGCGATAAAATTTTGCAACGTTTTTTTAACTCAAGCGGCGACACGTGCAGTCCTGTCGAAGCGCGTGCGCGGACTGAGCTGTGCGGGGCGAGATCTGTCCGAGGAACTTGGTACTAGAGCGTGAACTTGGTTTTAAATTCTCTTTTTTTAAGGTGCGGCGTCTATCCTCCAAGGGCGTCTATCCCACTTTTACCCTATTGTCGAGTTACATATGGTCAATCGTTTAAAATATTTAAAATAGAATTCTTTTACTGTTAACGGAAAATTATTAATTATTTGAAATTGGACAAACTAAATAAGGTATAAAAATGAATGAAAATGTCAAATTTCTTTAAAGTCCGATGTTAGCAACATGCACAAATTTTGCATGTCTGCATCTCTTTCTGTTACGCAACAATTGGTGTAATGTTATTCCTTTTCCTTTATTAGTGTCCGCTGCAATTCCCACCTGGCATCTCTTTTCTATGCTTACGATATTCCCTATAACGTCTGTTGTGAGTAAAAGTAGGCGTTCTCTTAGCAACAGCTCTAGTCTAGTTATACTTCGTTTAGTTTCTCTAGCGATGTAACCTTTAGCTTGACCGGCGCAAAGTAGAAAAGAACAGCACTAGGCCAGAAAAGGAAGGAGACAACTCTCGGCCAAACTCTCAATCGGTGAGGAGCGTATAATCCGTACAGTACTGCACCGACAAATTGACCACTTTATCCACTAATTGCATTGCTCAAATGTGCTGTTATTGGTACCAATTACTACTGAAAATATCAACGAGATGTTTGTTTATATTTGAAGACATACTAATGGTTTTAAAGCTTGTTTTCGACACGCAGATTTCATGATTGAAGAATACTTTTGGCAAGTACTGTACAAAAAAGTATGTTTAATGTACATGAGTCGAGAGTATAATGTGCTTTTTTCTCCCTACCTCCGATTTTACTATTGCGCATCCAAGACATTGGAAGGGGCACATCGCTAGAGAAAGTAAACGAAGTATAGTAAGTTAAAAGAAGAAAGTAAATGCGACATGTCAATTTCGAACGTTCCAACCATAACAATATACAGGAAGCAAAGCAGTCCACTGCGGAATGAGCGACTGTGCATCAAATTCAGTACTTATTATCAGTTGTAAAACACAAAACGTAAAGACAATTTCTTTGCGTACGTATCAAATCGGATGCATATTTTCTCATTACGGATATATACTATTTCCGAAAGTAAGTTCAATGTGCTGCTGCCATTACTTTTTGAGCTGCGTCAATGACGTATACACAATCTTTCAATAATTTCACAGTACAGTAAAAGTTCCTTATTCACGGTTTCCTTATTCGCGTTTTGATTACTTGCAGGTGAAAAAATTACAACCTAGCTAAGAATTTCATTGCTCGCGGATGCAATCGGTAAACAGAAGAGGATTCGGTGTCATTCATTAAGGGGATTGACCGCAATAGACCGCTCGTGCCTAGTGTGAATTTTTCCGAAAACATAGATTTCTATTCTAAATATTGTGAAGTAACGCTGCGAGATAAATATGTGATTTTTTGTACGGTAACAGACAAAGGTTTACACTAACTCGGCACGTTTTTGGTTTTCAATGATATGGTCATTAAATGCTTTTACAAGTGCTTAAATTTGATGCTTCTTGTAGGACACGTATTTTTAATAGAAATTAAAAAGTGGCCTTCGACAAGCTTTAGAACAAAAATTTAACTATCTCACTACAAAATTTCAAACCTCTGTTTTAAATATTAAACTCATGATATCTAAAACCGATAAACATGTTTTTATTCTATGGCGCGTGTACTACTGAGTCCCCTTAATTTATCGGCATCTTTTGAATATGTACAGTTGGTGCGTGCCGAGGCGACTTTTACAAAAGATGTGATCGAGTGGACTAATTTCAAATGTCAAAACAAGGGCAAGGGTTTAAAAAACAAATTTTTTAAACCCTTGCCTAAAGATTATAAACCTAAATATCTATTAACTTTAATTGCGAATTTTTTAATAAATAATAATAATAATAAATATCGGTGTTATTTAAGAACCTTAGAACTTATCATTTACGATTCCATACTAATTACCATTCCATATCCGCTGTTATATTTATGGAACGTATACCCCGCGAATAAGGAGCTACTGTATCAACTTTTTTAGCAATTTTTTGCTCTTAAAAGTCATGTAACTTACTTGATAGCCTGCAACAATTCAACTGCTAAATTAGACAGCTTATGTACTTTGAAAACCACAGGATTGTTGTAAAATCTTTGTACATCTGTCATTACTCGAGTCGCCGTTAATAAAATAAAGACGTGATAAACTGATGGAATCATACCGCGACTGCTCGGTTCAAATAAGCTGTAGTACGGTTCTGTAAGGAAGACTTCCCCTGGCACTAACACTTCCATACTCGTAGGACGTTGTTTCCCCTTCTTTTTCCCTTTTTTTGGTTTCTTCTTTTTTTTGGGTTTTTTGGGTTTTTTATTCTTTTTCCCTTTACCTTTGCCCTTCGCAAATTTTAAGAAAGCTCTCAAATTTTCTGTTATTTCACCACATGTTTCAGGCTCAACAGCACGGCACGTTGGCGCGAACGATTTTGAGTTAATTTCTTTACCATTTTGAACTTTCTGTAAGATCTTGTACATTTTGAATTTGTGAACCGAATCTGCAGAATAAAAAAAAAGAAAATTCAGTTTTACTGTATTAGTTGTCTATTCGTTTTACAATCTCGAACTTACAAATAATGCACTCGACTCGCTATATATTCCTGAATGATTTTATGTTTTTGATAAGCAAGCAACATCACCTAGTACACCAGCATCATCAGGAAAATGTTTCCTTTTGAGCTGATCGCCTCTTGAAAGGTTAGAATGGAATGTTTTTTTTTTTTCTTATTTAAAACTCAATCAGGGCAAAAAGACCTTCATTGGACCTTAATGTTTCGGATAAAGTTTTAGACAAAAGGGTGCATAATTGCGAAGGAGAAGTCAATTGGGTTTTTTTGATTTGATTTTGACTTTGACTTTCGAGATAATTTTAAGGTCAATTAGATTGTTTTAATCGAAATGGGTGTATATTTTTGAACTCAGCAATGGAAACAACAGAAAACTTAAGAATTGGAAATATCCTTAAAGATTATTTGCCATTAGATTTTCATATTCTGAATGGTGCTTTTTCGTAATAATTTTTACCTACTTCATCCCTCCCCTGAGGGCCACCCCTTTTGTTCCAATTCATCCCTATCCTAATCTCTTTATTTTAGTGATATCATTCCTCTTCATATTCATACCATTTCCTTACATTCATCTATAAATACAATTGGTTCTCAATAATAACACTCACTAAGAGGGCAGGTGACAATTCGTCGCTCAAGTGTGTCAAATCACCTATCGTTTTATCTTACTTTCGGCTCTCCCCTTCATTCCTAACCCCAAAAAATCCAAGTTAGCTTTGAAAGCCTTCCTCATGGCCCTATTATTCTAGCTCAAAAACTTTCATTCAAACATGCTGAATGGATTTTAGGAAAACCAAAAACACAACCTTCTTTTCTGTGCTAATTTGATAGTTTACTGCTAATCTCGCCTTCCTAAATTGACCCGTGAGTACGTAATTCGCGATTTGCCGTGTTTAAGTTACCTATCTTTTCATACCTTTCAAGAATTCTAATTTTGATACAATTGCTTCATCTTTTTTAACGTCGTCCATATTCGATTTTGATGGTAATTCTAATGGTTTGCTAGACGTTTCCACCGGAACATCAACGTTCGGATTTTCTTCAAAAGCAAGCAAAAACCTATCTTTAATACAAATTTCTTCTTCTTTAAGATAAAACACTTTCGACTTGTCTTTCTTTGCTCTAAAATACATTAAGAAGTAAATCTAAATTCGAATAAATCCTACATCAAAGAAAGTTAGCTAAAGACGTATTGAAATAATGGATATTGACTTTTATTTCTTGTGGAAGATTTTTCAATAATTTGTTTATATCCACAAAGCTTCGTTTTGTTAAACATATTTTTTGGTAACTATTGTGTTTTTCTGTACTGGTTTCTCTAGTTAATGTTTTAAAATGCTTTAATCTTGGCAACAGTGGATCGAGTTCTGACAGCCGGGATTCATCAATTCTGTTTTAAATAACGGCACCCGAAACCGTTGCTTACTTCGTTCGTACTATCTTTACCTACCGTAACCTATCGCAAACAATCAAATAAAAGCATTAAGTGTTTGGTTAGGATGGGAGGTTATGTATACTAATTGACACTAATGCTGTCAGTGCGATCTAACCTCAAATAAATGGCGTAAACTGTTGATATTTTAAGTTGAACCTGAACAGTCCCAAAGTAGAAAGAGGAGACTGTGGTAAATATTAATTAAAATTTAAAAGGAATACTCACCCCTAATTACCACAAATAATTTTATTTGAGCGGACACGATCAGTCTCGCGTTGATAACGCCCACATATGAAGTGGGCGAAACACGTGTCCGCTCAAATAAAATTATTTGTGGTAATTAGGGGTGAGTATTCCTTTTAATTTTTAACTGAACAGTCCCGGTTACCGGTACTTTTAACTGAATTTGCGAATACCGACTACATGGATTCTTGGATCTAATCGTTAATTTTTGATCATCTAATAATAGCATAAAAATTTACCCTTTTCCAAGTTTATTTTTGGCTGTATAAAACATAAATTTAATGATATGCTGATGTAATTTTGTTAACTCAACGTCTTCCAGCGGAGGCACAGTATGATAAACGGTGACTGGAACCCATGCTTTTTTATCAAACACAATGCATTTTATTATCAATTCTTCATTTGCTGCAAAAACCTATTAACCATAGCATGAAAATGAAAGTTATTTTCAAAATTTTTATCCCATAACCAAGAAATAATGAAGCAGACCATCTGAGAGCGCCAGTTACAGAATTGGTTCAATAGAGTACATGAACTTACTTAATAGTGTACCTAAAGTGTTTGCATTGTTAATTTTATTTGGTTATTTCTTTAAATTTAAGGTAATTTAGTGATCTTTTTTTATTGATTGTTTAGCGCCGACACTCAAAATTACATAAGTATACTTACATTAGTTGAAGAACTTAGTTATTAAGCTTAATAAAATAAAGGTTTATTATTTTTTGCTTTTCAGTCTTTTCGGCGGTTTAATTTTTTTGTTAAAAAAAAATCTAAAACCATCCTTCAGTGCACGTTCTGAAAACCTTCAGAAAATGTTCATAATGTTAGAGAAGGGATGATGGACGAATGATATTGTGATGATACACACCTTTCATCATCATAAGGTCGTCAGTCGTAAGACTGGTTGAACACGTACCTCCACTCTTTCTTATCCTGAGCTAATCTTCGCATTTGCCTAAAATAGAACAACAGTAATCTAATCTAGGTCTACCTCTACCCCTCCTAACTCCCGTTTCTGCCTCCAATATGTCTCTGACTAGACCTTCATGCCTCAGGTATCCCCCCAACCTATCTCGACTATTTCTTATTGACTTTCATAGAGTTCTCTGTTCTCCTACTCTTTCTAATACCTCACACACTACATTTCGAACGCTTCTAANGAACCCCCATAACTGTTTATGGGGGTGAGACCGCCACGATCTTTTTATGGTACAGTGGTGGGGGAGACCTCCTCTTTCGATTCCCCCCCCCCAGACCTTTACCATTATTTTTTGTGGCTATAATATACTAATTACTACTACTACTAGTATTTTCCTACTATAAATCACCCCTTTTTTTCCTACCCCTAGGGTTAGATTTTTTTTCTAAGTTTGTATGGGACCAACTTGGAGGTATACCCATTTCTAACAAAAAAGAATTATCAAAATCGGACTATTCTGTTAAAAGTTATGCGTGGTCATACATTACAATCAGTGAAAGGATAATAAGCAACAATCATCCCCTGTTTTCCTACCCTTAGGACTGGAATTTTTTTTCCAAATGTATAAGGGACGAACTTTGGAGTATACTCTTTCAAATAAAGAAAGAATTATCAAAATCGGACAACTCTGTAAAAAGTTATGCGTGGTCATACATAAAAAAAAATATACGCGTTGACTTTAGAACCTCCTTCTTTTTTTTGTCGGTTAAAAAAGGGATCTACTATGCACATTTGAAAATGTGTTTTATTCTTTATTCTTTCAAGACGCCCATATGATGATTCGCTTCATTATTTATTGGTTTTGTTATGGTAACTAAAAACCTTTGCTACTGGACCCCAACAAAGGACATCAATATGAAACTTAGGCCTTTTTGGTAAAAATTCGTACTCGATACTAAGATTGCCAATTAATTTCCCAAGTTGAATCACATAAGGCGGTATAACAGGTTTAGGTTTGTCTTCGGCCTTTCCTTTTCGCTTTTTCTTCTCCTTCTTTTTTGGTTTATCCTTCTTCTTCTTTTTCTTCTTCTCCTGCGGAATTTCTTTCGCGTCAGGATCGTAATCGAAAGCTACCAAAAATGAAAACGTAAATTTTACCATAGTCAAATCAATAAGCCCACAGAATTCCTTTTGGAACGGAAAAAAAAAATTAACAACTCAAACCCCAATTTTGAAGTTGTCAATATTGTTACTGACGAATGTGTTGACTAGATTTTTGAAGTAGGCATGTATTAGCTTAGCATAGCTTTCATCCAAATTTTCAGAAATAAATAGAAACATACATATAATAATAAAGAAAATATGCCTTTAAGTCCTTTTCCAATAATTTTCCACACGATACACAAAAAAGTTGGAGTACTATAACCTTTACCCTGTAACATTATCCTGTAAATATTTTTGAGTTATATTTATCGGAAAATCAGTGTTCTTACTGTAAAATAGCATCAACAGTCCGATCAATTACAGATCATTTATACAGCGGTAACAATAACTATCGGGAAATCAAATTTACGAATCATTAAAAGTGGGTCAAGGTGGTGAAGCGGGTATCATTTTCTACGTTCGTCTATTAGTAAAACAGGCAATTATTATGATTATCATTACTATTAGCCCATGTACATATTAAGTACTAAATTGTTATTATAGATTGTACTTTACTTCACCAACTATTCATATAGACAATTAACATTAAACACAGAGATTTCTTCGGATATATTGTAAAACACGTTTATTTCTTATAAATATTAAAATACATAATAATTTAACACATAAGTGAACATGCAGTATATGCAGATAGGTATGTATCTAGTGATGTTTGAAGAGTATAAAGTAACAATTTCAGATCAACATCGTTTTTTAGATACTTAACAATAATTATTAACTCCTAAATTGCTAGAAAGGTGTAGTAGAAATTATTATAAAACAACATTGTATCCGCGTCAGTGAGGTATTGTTACGTTATACAATTACGACAGCGTCTGCGCAAAGATTAATTGAGATGATTGAAGATCATCTCTTTACATATGTGGTATATTAAACAGTGATGAAATGAATATATTGGACTTGCTGGATTGATCTGAAATTTCTTTAACATTGCGATTTTGTGAACTATGAATAAAGCGTTTGCGTACAAAAATAAAGTTGGTCACAAGTATCGCGTACATTATCGTAATTATAATAAATACATAAGTCTTTAAAAAGAGTAATAAAAATAAAGTGATGCGAAGCACGATCTGATTTTGTTTGTTGTCACACCAGGTATAATCTATGGGAGGGATGACTTTATTTCCGCACCATCAAGTCTTTTCAGCTGAAAAGTAAAAATAAAGCACAAGTCAATATTAACTCATTATTATTAGTAATTAAGTATAGTTTTTGTCAGAATTCTTTGCATGTGTCTGCAGTAATCTTTCCGGAATTTTTATTAAGGTGCAGTTACACTTCGCGGTTCTTCTGGTGACGCGTTTCCATTGACATCTGTTGACGTCAGTACGCGGCATGTTGCACCGAATCTTTCACACGGAGCGCGTCTCGCCGGATCCCGCATCTACCGCGTCGGCCGCGGGCCATGTAGGCGGACCTTTAGATTCGTTCTCGCTTAAACACATCAATCGTTTCGTTGCAGCTAAGGCAAGACTGTTCATAATACACGACTCATACGTTCTAACATCCAATCTACACCCTCCTTGCTGAAGATATTGTCGTTATATGGGTTTCAAGCATACATAACCACAATTTTATTACTTTGCTGTCAATTTATACTTGAACTTATAGGATATTTTCAACAAGAAATTGAAAATAATAGGTGACCGATATGCATTTTACGTCACCATCTCTGAATTAACTTCGCAAGATGGGGTGTGTTCCAAAATATAACCCAGCATAATAGTCAATGCAGATGATGTCATAAATCGACGCCATACTGTTGATTCGTTCCGAAAAATATACTGGCTAGTGCGTTGAAGTCAAATTGACGCCATATTGAGAATAGTGTTTGCGCTCGTTTACTCCAAATGTTATTAAAGTTTCTTACAATAAAGAATTACTCAAAGTCTGATGTACATACACCCGTTTGATATACTACTACGTCACCCTTGTCTCACCAGTACAGTATGGTGGCACACCAGTAAAATATGGCGTCAATTCATGACGTCATCAGCACTGGTTAGTATGCTGGGTTGTATTTCGGAACACACCCATGGTAAACTTTCGCAGTGCTGCAAAACTTTGTTTTGCAATCACAAACTTGTGATACGTAAGCGCATTGACTATTTAGGTTATGTTGGCACCATTGCAATGTTTGATGCCACCTTCAAGAGGGGTGCCGTAAAATGCAGTTTTGTTAATGAAGAAGAATGAAAATCAAAATCAATGAGTCTGCCATTGTATTGTCATTCCTTTTATTAAACTATATTGTAGTAACGATTCACACATGCAAAGAACGTTGACAAGAGCCGTGTATAACTAGAAACGATTACTGAAGCGCATGCTTGCATAGGATACCAAAATAAAAAGATACTGAAGTTTAAACAGTTGATAATACTGAGGTAGGCACATCAATAAAAAAATAAAGTAAAAATTTTAACAGTAATTTCAATTGAATGAGATAAACGAAATTAATAAATTTTAGATGAATCGGAAAATTAATAACAATTGCACTATATTGTAGAGAAATGTATCTGTATATATAAACATTAAAGAAATCAAATATGATGCTCATGCAAATGAAAATTAAATATTGTACAGAGCGGACCAACTTTGATGCACTTTGATGGTTATCCAGTATTCATAAAAGACATCTCAATTGTGACACCCTGTATATTATGGAAGATACTTAAGCATGAGATGTGACACCCTGTATATTAGGGAAGATACTTAAGCATGAGATGCGTCTTTATTCTACTTTACTTACGCTTTACTTATTGTTTGGATTTTTCCCAACTGCTTAAAAATACACAAAATAAAATTAGAATTTAGAATAACAGTTAGTGAATCGATTTAATTAGATTTACATGTAATTCATCATTTTAAAATAGAATATTTATTTTTTATTTTCTTCTTTAAACAACATTTTCGGACAATAACTATATTAAAAATTATACAGTGCGTTCCAGTAAATTCTCTATCATAACCTCTTATTATATTGCACAATCGACGAATTATTAATTTTTTTTTTCTTCAGTGTAAATATTTACCTCATTTTCGTCAGTGACAACGGCAGTGTATCGTTCGATAATTTTAACAGGTCCAGTTTGGGGTGCAGCAAAAACGTATTTGTATAATAATCCGGCAACAACTCCTCCCAAAATTGGTCCTGCCCAAAACACCTGAAAATAAAAGTTACATAGCGATATAAGTTTTCAGTGTTCTCTCAATATTAGATAAAAAAAACACTGTCCAAAAATTTTTATTTAATTCTTATAAAAAACCCGTAGAGCCGATCGTCCCAACTATAGAACACCTTCTCAGGGATGAAGGGCTACATAGTTAGAAACATATTAGACGTGAAACAGGACGTAAGTGGAATAGAAGAAGATATAGTTCATATCACTATTCACAAATAGTTAAGAGTATGTCACGTTCGAGTTGTAGGAAAATGGGAAGATTATCTCAAGAAAATTGAAATTTATCTGGGAAATCAGAGAAACAATTTTTGAGTAATTAGTTAGAAATTATTAAACGGCTATATACACAAACTGGATTACTTGTAGTCAAAACGGATCATTCAATTTATTAACGACAAACTTTTGTGTTTGATAGCCAGTGGTGTAACGAACTGTTTTGGGATCCAGGGAAGAGTTGACTGAATCCCATACATAGACAATTACTTAGTCTAGTACAGTCTATTTCAATTTGTTAGAATTGTGACCTTGAAGAAATCTGTGAGAAAGAATACACACTAGGCGTGAGCAAGACAGAAATAGTTGGAACAAGCTTGAACGAGCAGAGCTCTCGATGGGCGGTCTTAGGAGATCGGCTAGAACTATACAGTACTAGACGAAAATGTCTAGCAATTTCTTAAAACAAAAATGTATATAAATTAACAATAGAAAACAAAGCAAAAGTTTTATAGGTGTGTAGAGCGTTAAGATAATTCACTTGTTATTATTTTTGGCTAAATATGCTTTTAAATAAAACATATTCTTAAATTTTAACGAGACAGTTTCAAGTTTTGTCTAGTTCTCGCTCGCTGGTGGAGAAATGAGCTTCGCAGACAAATATGATTGAATTTGTAATTATGCTACGGCGCATCCTAAGAAAGGAAAGGAACATATCTCTAACTTCTTGAAACTAACAGTACATGCCTCCTCATCCTGTCACGTTTGTCGTACCCGGGGCGAAACTTACCCCTACTTGATACTTCGAAGTGAAAACTTTTTAATAATATGAATAGTCAAAAGTGGAAATTCATCAACTAACATTCAGGTTATAAATTTTGTATTAGTAGAACATTTGGACCAGATTTAACTATATCTAACGTTGGGCTTACCCAGTGATGCTCCCAAACGCCTGCTATTACAGCGGCTCCAAAACTTCTGGCAGGGTTCATGCTGGTACCGTCATCATCTACCGCAATCAAGTGTCCCAAACAAACAGCCATTCCAATGGCCAAAGGTCCAATAGCCTTAGATTCGAACCTGTTTGTGTCGCAGACTCCAAATACCGTGAGAACCAGCACAAAACCCAACATAAATTCAACACCAAAAGCTTGTTCCGCGGTGATACTGGGTGACACGATGTTAACTCCAAGTCCATTTGAATGAATTCTGTTGGGAGTGAGACCCTGCAAAAACATGATAAGAAAGACCGTTAAACAGTACCTTAAATGAATCTTCAAAATAATATGGTCACAGAGATTTAGCAAAAGAATAATGTTAACTTTGTAAACATTTCAAGTTGATAGGACTTCATTTTATCATGGTCGAATATATATTTCGAGTATCAGTTGCTGTCTTCCGGAGGGTCACTGTTTGAGAGACTATACAGGGTGTTTCTGAATAAGTAGTAAGCTTTGGAGGGCGTTAACTAGATGAAGTAACCCGTCAACACAGATAGTGCAGCTGATTAAATGCGGCGTTGCGTTGTCATACTTCCCTACGTATTCCTACCAGGCCCGGACTGTACTTTCAAATACGTTTTTCTCGAAAGCGTTGGATTTTCGGACCATCAAACATTTATTTAATTTTCTTGTATTATAGTGCCCTACTCCCTCCTGCAAGTTTTTTGTTTATTTCATATATACAAATCTACTAGAGGGAGTAATATTTAAATTGCGGCAATTCCTTCGCCCTGTTCTTCTTTCAAATGCAACAATTACCTTCCTGTAGTAAATATCTAACCCGTATTACCTTCGAAACATGTTGATTCATGCATTTTAAATGTTATTTTACTTTAGTTACGTAGTTAGTCTGACCATAAAATTAATTCGGTACAACTTCCAGTAAATTAGTGAATGTATCTAGAAAAAAAAACTATAAGTCCTTGAATTACCCAATTGTTACTGATTAGATCACAAAATAAGAACGCGTAATGAAAAATAATCTTAAATAATAATCTTAAAATTTGCTGGAAAATTATCGTCAACGTTGGACAATTTATAACGACCACAAGATGAAACCACAATAATCCTAACAATTCTTACACATTGGGATATAAGTTCGGATGATGGATGACGATCTATAATATAAAATTAATTCTCGAATTTGTATAATAAATACCGAAATTTCAATGTTCACATATCAATATAATGATAATAATTATGAAAAACAAAAAAAAGCATTAGTTAATTGATGATAATAATAATAATAATAATAACGTTATTAAAACGCAATGAATTTTTGTTATCAAGTTCTTGGCTTACCTATATACCTAATAATAATCATTATTTCTAGAAATTTCTATTTTTAATTCTTGCCTGTTTATAATAAATCTTGCCAATAGAATACATTTCCGGTAAACAACAAAAAAAACACTGTGGTTATTGTGAAACAGTGAGTCCAATAGTTTTCGAATGATTTGCAAATAGTGAGTGATACAGGGTGATTTTGTTACATTGACTTGACTTTAAAATCAAAATTAAATAGAAAACATGAAAACGGCTATAATGTGTGTAATCCGTCATTGTAAGCAATTCATAGGAAATATATATAATTCCTAAAATCGTTCGGAAATGTGTGAAATAAATAACATTAGACACACTTCCTAGGAAATCTATACATTTTCTAAATAGCAATCGACAATGTATTACATTTAAGATGTCAAAGGGTACGCGGGGATAGCGAAACGAGGGGAGGGTATTGCGTCATCCCATCGGGCGAGTTATTGTATCCACAGATAACTCTGATTCTCAGTTTACTAACGTGTTTTATTCATTTTATTCACAGAAAGCACTAGTTTTATACATTTCCCAGTACAATATCGGAACTTCATACATTTCCCAGGATATGTGTGTATTAAAATATCTTTGAAACAATATTTTATAGATTTCTTAAATAGCCTCGGAATTGTACACATTTCCTAGGATTTGTATACATTTCCTCGGATTTGTATACAATTCCTAGATATCATACATTTTCGGTAACATTTATATTAAAGTAGCTTATTTTCTTCGACGTTTTTTGGTTCAACCTTTACTTAAATATTAATCATAACCAAAAATATATTACATACTTCATTTGAAAGCAAATTGGATAAATAAAAAATGGTTATTATGTAAGTGTTCTCAGCACTTTGGTTTTACGCGAAAAGTAGTAGGAGTCCCAGGTAAAAAATAGCGCATATTGCATTATTATCTTAAGATTGATTATGCGTCATGAATATACTCTGCAAGAACCAATCTGAGCAGCACTGACTGAAGTTAGTACAGTAGATATTAAACTCATAATTTGAAATATAGAAGGGTGGCTATGTATTTAGCTACAGATATAGGAATGTAAATGATAATCGTGATACCTATATAGTGATAATTTAAAATAACCAAGAGAAAATGTAAGTGCATTTATCTCTAATAATTCAATGAACCTTAAAAGTAACAAAAGTTGAATTGTTATAAAATGTACCTAATTAATGGGGGACAGGAATAATATCTAATTTTTTGGAATTTAGTCTTTATTTTCATGACAACGCAAAAATTTCAATTTTGGATTGTAAATGACTGAATTTGCCGTAGAAATAGTAGAATTTATTAGATAACTTGTAATAATCTCAAGTTTGACATGTTTCTTTAAAAATTATTTCAAGTTTCTTAATTATTACAATTAAATTTATAATATCAACTAAAATACCTAGTTATTTCTGCTGCGATTTTATTTTTAAAAATTCCGGTCCAAATTGTAATTTTTATTATTTTCGCTTATGAAACAATGGACTAGTAAGATAAATTGTAAATATCGCTTTAATATTTAGGTAAATTTTCCTTTTTCATTTTCTCTGAGTACAACAGAGCAAAAATAGTTTTTGTCATGTTAGCGCGGAAAGCTCGTTTTGCGTGCTATGAAATAGGGAAGAAATGGCCTCTTTTCAGTCGTGTTTTAGTAGGGAGGCAATGAAATTAGTCTTTTGAGCGCATGCGCTCAAGTTTATGGGCATGCGCAGAAATCAGTTGTTCAATGACAATGTCTTTCTAACCTCTAAATCATTTACTCTTACTTCGCCAACTATCAATTTAATGACGAGCTTTCCGCACAAACATGACAAAAAATAGTATACGTACCTCGGGAAGAAACAGGGTTATCTCAGACTGTAAGTTTGCAGTCTGAAAAAACCCCTGTTTCTTCCCTCGATACGTAATGTACTATTTTTCGTACAAGTGGAGATCTGCGGAATTGACTAATTGCGTTTAATTCATATTCGGAAAGAAAATTTGCTGTGTAAACTGGGCCACCTTTTATTCACCCTGTATATGAATCCATTAGGAACAACAACAAGTGGACAAGCGTATACAGTTTCGAACGTTACGGTTTTTTGGGCAAAAGCCATTAGCTGCGGTGTTTTTTCGTTTTATTTCGACGCCACAAACGGACCTTTTAAAGTCCAACGTAAAACGGAAACTACACCGTGAGTTAATGAGCGGTCGCTGAGCCGTAAAAATGAAACTTTTTTATTATGCGCGGAACTTTGGAACATGACGAATTATTCTTTCGTAATTGCCTGTTGTTGCTCGTTCGATGGTTCGTTTCGTTCGTCGCCCTACGAGCCAGCTGCAAGAAAATGCGTTGGATGTATCCAAGAGTCCACATCTTTATCGGCAATTAATCGAATCGTCAATCAAAATAACTGTTTTAAGATTAAATGCCCATTAAGGTAGAGGTATTGAGAAAACATCCTAATTTCTACTTATGGGGATGACAAACACGTCATACTAAGTAGGCGTCATACAAAGCATAGTCTTAGAAAATAAACAACTTTCTATTTTGGTTAGTTATTTAGTTTAATAGAAAGATAAACTACAAATTGTATGCATTTCTTAATAGAAAAAGAAAAAGAACGATGAATTGTAATATCAATATACATAAGAATGTTATTATTAATCATTTGGGTCACTATAGCCGGATATGATTTCTTGAGAATCAGTCATAATAAACGATATGTCATTTTAACCGGAGTCATTATATCCAAACTTTCAAAGAATCTATCAAATTTTGTGTGAACAACAAAAGTGCGCGGACGCATTCCGAATGTTGACTTTGGCATATGGTGAAGCTGCCTTGGACCCAAGCAACGTTTATCGGTGGTGCAAAATATTTTCAGAGGATCGAGAAAATATGAACGACGAAGAGCGTGCCGGACGCCCGAGGACGCCAACAACAAACGAAAACATTGATGAAGTGAAGAAAATAGTATTGGTCAATTGTCCAATGACCGTTAGAGAAGTTGGTATGGACCTAAATATATCGATTGGCTCCTGCCATTCCTTTTTTTCCAATGATTTGGGCATGATACGGGTCGCCGCGAAATTCGTACCAAAATTACTCAATTCCGACCAAAAACATTGCTAAGGAGCTGTTGGATTCTGTACGCGACGACCCAAATTTGCTCAAAAGGGTCATAAGTGGTGATGAATCATGGGTTTATGGATGACGTGGAAACGAAAGTTTAATAATCCTAATGGAAGCACCAGCTAAAACTGAAAAAAGTTCGCCAAGTTAGATCGAATGCGAAGGTTCTGCTTACAGCTTTCTTCTATTGCTGGGCGTGGTGCAACATGAGTTCTTTTCCACAGGGTAGAACGGTCAATAAGGAATATCACCTGTAAGCTATGCGTAATTTGCGGGAAGCAATCATTCAGAAAGCTCGGATGCTTTGAAAAACAAAAATTGGTTTTTACACCATTATAACGCCCCTACTCACACATCGTTGCTTGTGCTAAAAATAATACATTAATAATGCCGCAGCCCCGATATTCCTCAGATCTGCCCCCCCTGTGACTTTTTCTTGTTCCCGAAACTGAAGAGGCCCATGAAAAGACGACTCTTCGCTACGATTGAGGAGATAAAGACGGCATCGAAGCCCGAGTAAAATTTATTTTTGGGAACCGGTTGGGTCCCGATTGGGTTTTTTCCAATTCAAATAGGGTCCCAACCGGTTCTCTATTAGAAATGTAACGCTTTCCCCACCAGAGACTCGGTAGGGAAAGCCCTAATTGGAAAATTTAGAGAAATTCCAAATGAATTTTTATTTTTAAATGTACCTATTGAAAATTTAATAAGTATATGTATTAAAATTAAAACGAAACACGTATTATAAAGAATAGAAAAATATTTATACACCTGCAACACTTTCTAGAATTGTATATATAAGATCACAAAAAATTATTTTTTAAAGTGCTTCGAGGATTGGAAAAAGCGTTGGCACAAGTATATAATATCTGGTGGGGATTATTTTGAAGGGGACAAAATAGATATTCATGAATAAACGAAAACACACAAAATTCGGAATCTTTTTTGAACAGATTTCGTACACTAATTACCTACACAGGTCTGCGAAATTTTTTTTTGAAAAGTTTTTTCTTAAATTGTTAATGTTTGTAGTAATTGTCATAAAATAGAAAAGGATATTCATATGCTGTATACTACGTCATATTAACCCATAAATGCTCAGAGAACACATTTCCATTTGAACCCTTGCAACGTAATAAGTGCGACGAAGAAATATTCGATAACCAATGTTTCTATGTTTTCAACGATGCTCTTTTCGATTGTGTGCTTTCGATTTTTTTATATACTACTAACCTATATAGATCATGGCCTCGATATCTAAACATGAAATAATCACCGTTGGTCAAGTCGAAATGCCTTTACAAACTGTTTGATCAAACCAAGTTTAATATAAAATGGTGGAAACAATACTTTTTCGACCTGTGTTATGAGAGCAGATAGTGTAACTTCGTAATCACTGAAAGTCTACTTACTACTGTCCTAATATTTTTATCAGAAAATAGTTGATCGCGAATGGAAATTCCAAAGCAGTTAATTTTATCAAAAAGTTATTTTAGATCATGGGCGAAGGGGTAGGTACGCATGTTATGATATGGTAATTTATGTACGCCATTTACGTACGTCATCTGACTCTTTCTGGATTCTAAATTTAACTTTCACAACGTGAATTGGTCGTTTGTATTGCCAAACTGTTTCCGTTCTTGGTGTATATATTCCAGGTTGGAAAAAGGAAATTTTTACCGCGTTCTATTTAATCATAAAGCCTCACGCAACTATAGTTACAGACGTTACTTCGTACGCCTTTTAATCTTGTTGATACAATCTTTTCTCCTTTCCCATAACAGTAATTCACAATAATTTCTGACATCTACGTGCATATCATTCGGTTATTTTATTACACCTTTTTTGTCTTTCCTTTAATGAAGATTGCCTTTTAAAAGATTGAAACATTTTATCACCGACAGCTACAGCTTTTTTATGTCATCACGGACGGCTTAATAATAATTCAATACGTGTAGCAGCTCATTAGCTTTCTGGGACTTTTTATGTGCAAATAAATTGGCTACAGGAAAGTTATTTTGTTTGACACTTTACGGCTGTGTGAAAACTAACAGTAACTGCTCAGAAAGTAGCAAAGCAACTTTCTCAATTTTGCAAATCTTAACTGTAGGGACATTAATTAATTAGGAGGAAAGACAACAAACTTTTGTTTTCGATAATTTTGTAGATACGTATTTTTTAAAATTTCTTCATAATAGGTATAGTTGAACCGTCGCGTCGTTTCGAGTCGCAAAAGCTGTAAATCATTAACTGGTAGTTTACCAATCATACAGTCAGTTACGCTGGGCCCCTCCCCAGTGGTTAAGAATGATACAACTTGGCAATTTAAATAGTATAATTACTACAGTGTAAAACAGATTTAAAGTTGGAAATTTTGGCAGAAAATTTTTTTTTATACTTTCATTGGTGAAATGTCTCAGCTAGCCGAGTCCCTTTAGATGACATTTTTATGGATTTTGCGACTCAAGACGTTGGCCTATCTATACATTATATGTATACTTTCTAAGATATTGTATGTATTAGGATCCATCAAGTAGACCACTGTATCTGACGGCGAAACTTCTACAGTAGGGACATTCAAAATTGGCACACTCCCCAATAAAACGGTCGCATCTTTCTGTTACTATTACTATCTTAATTCAACTTACTAACTAGTCTAGAGCGGCTGCTAACAGAACGCCTACTTTTATAAGGAATATCTTAAACATAGAAAAGAGATGTCAGGTAGGAACTGCAGCGGGCAAAGATAAAGGAATAACTATACACCAATAGATGTGTAACAGAAAGAGATGCATACAAGCGGAATATGAGCATGTTACCAGCTTCGGACTTTAAAGTAAGTTCAAAATTTTGAGGAATTTAGGAATGCAAAGAAACTTGGTTAAAGAACTTTGCAACTTCACCTAAACCTTCATTACACTTCACTATTTATATCGTGTGGATAACCCTTTAAAACGGAAGTTTGTTAACAAAAAGTAGTAAAAGAAAATACTACAAATGACGCAGTAAACGCCATCTGTAGCACGATGCTACATTTTAGGATTACGTATGCTCCAACAAGGTCCACTTGTGTGTATATCTACTTGCTGAAAACGAATCCCGGCGTAGCCAACCTCAACGTGATATGCACGTTAGCTTAACCGAATAAAATAATTCGAAGTGGTCTGTAGTAAAGTAGTAAAAATCACCTTACTTGAAGATTGTTGTTTCAGATACATTTTTTTCGTAATTTTATAATGTGATCGGCATTCCCACACGTTCGCTTCAAAAGAATTCTTTTTTCGATGATTTGTATTAGCACAATCCGATACTGTACTGATGCTTACAATTTTATGGCATTTTGGAAAATTCACAATTGCAATGTATACAATAGGAAGTTGTACCACATCGTCGCCATATTTTTCAAGCTCCACCCATTCATTGGATCCCAATATGTACTTACTAACAAATGCAAATTACTAAAAACTCATGCACCGCTTCTATTAATGCATAACACTCAATTATTCAATTCTTAATGCTTTTTATATAAAACAAGGGCTAGCATGGAACACGACATTCATTTAAATACATATGTGTAGAATAGGAATAAAACATATTGGTATTTCACTAGGGACTTAAAAAAAGAGGACAAAAAGGGTGTGATAGATGCAAATGTGACGCCAGGCGAATTTGAAAAATGATTTAGATGAAACAATCCTTTAGGATGCGTGCTATAAGTACATATACAAAAGCCTCAAAAACGTCATTCTTATGCAAAAATGTGGTTTCGAGGTAATCGACCATATATCATGTAATATATGTATATGCTAGTTGAATCCGTCCGAACTTGGTCTGTTTGAAAGCTCTTTCCTTGCAACTGAACCTTAATAATTGAAAAAAGAACAAAGTCACAAGGAGATAGGTCTGATGGGCTATACGCAGGATGTTCAAGCACTTTAACTCCACTTTGATAAACTTTGAGCAAACAATCGTTTATGTACCAGGAGGCGGTTAGGTACAGTACGCTGATTTTTCTATGAATACTATTCGCTCCAAAATACCCTGCTGGGTAAAAAGTACAGCGATCATCGTTTTCTATGCTGAGCCTAATTTTTGCTCCTGAACAACAGTTCCCTCATTTTCGAACAGTCAAATATTATTTTGGATTTTCGAAAGTACTTTAAAGTACCAGGTTTCGTAACCCGCAGCAATATTGTTGGTATTATTTGAATTAAGTACAATTTTCATACATTTCAACATTTTTTCACACCAGTTTACCCTGATCCCTTTTGTTCAATGTTGAGATCGTGCGACACGAACTCTTTTTATGCCAAGGATATCGTAAAGAATTTTATGTACACTTGATGCACTTATGTGTAGAATATCCTCTGAGTGTTGATATACTATACATCTATCTTTCTTTAATAATTTTAAATTTTTCCCACATTTCCTGAGTCGGAAGCTTAAACGGGACGCCTTAATTTTTTAGCATCATTGACATATTTGACGTTCAAACTCACGATAGCATCAATAAGCTGTTGTGCGATATGGATATTTTTCCCTTAAAACAGTTTTAATTTCTTCCACACACTAAACCACTTACATATTTCACTCATTCGGTAAAAATAATTATCAGCTAACTACAGTCCATTTCAAGTGACCTTGAAGAAATCTGCGCGAAGATAGAAAGAATGCACACTAGGCGTGAGCAAGACAGAAATAGTTGGAACAAGCTTGAACGAGCAGAGCTCTCGATGGGCGGTCTTAGGAGATCGGCTAGAACTGTACAGTACTAGACGAAAATGTTTAGCAATTTCTTAAAACAAAAATGTATATAAATTAACAATAGAAAACAAAGCAAACGTTTTATAGGTGTGTAGAACGTTAAGTTAATTCACTTGTTATTATTTGTGGCTAAATATGCTTTTAAATAAAGCATATTCTTAAATTTTAACGAGGCAGTTTAAATAATTTTGCAAATGGTACTGTACACTTTTGTCTAGTTCTCGCTCGATGATCCGTGTAGAAATGATCTCCGCAGACAAATATGGTTGAATTTGGAATTATGCTAAGTATCCTAATAAATGGAAGGGGCATATCTCTAACTTCTTGAAACGAACAGTAAGTCATTTTTTTATATATATATATAAACTATCAAGGCATTAGCTAGAATTTAAGATAAAAATATTGCCAACTACCCTCCTAGTGTATAGACCATTTTATTTTGACGGACGCCTGCCTGTCGTCATCTAGACGGCAATAGGAGCCACGCTTTATATTGTATGCGATATATACAGGGTGCTTGAGTATCAATTTAATTAACTGTTAGTAATCGTAAAATGTAAGAAATAATGTGAGTACTTACAAAAAGAATAGCTGATCCAGCAAGCGATCCAAGACATTGAGCCACGATATACAGTACACCTTTCAGTATCCCAATATTTCTTGTAACAACCATGGCAACGGTCACGGCTGGGTTAACATGAGCACCACTGACGTGACCCACAGACTGGAATTTTTTATAGGCCAGCGTTAGAATATGGCAAGACAAAACACAAACATGTTTCTAACATGACAATGCAAAATGGAGGATAAAAACTTCCGGAACTGTCTTTCTTACCAAAATCACCTTCTAGTTGCTATATGTATATACAGATCCGATACATTTAAATCAATATTTAAAATATAAACTAAAGTTTTATTTCTGCTTCTCTTAAAACTCATTATAATAACGCGTGGTAGGCATTTAATAAAGTTAGAGATGTTACTCATGGAAATTCAAAAGTAGTAGACGACAGCATATTGAATTCAACGAAATATGGCGCTGTACCACAGATGGCGTTCACCATACAATTTGTGGTATTTATAACAGAAAGTGAGGTTAGAATACAATTTTTGTGAATTCTTCAGTTTGTATTTCTCGAAAATTAGTTATCTGCTATCTAAGTCGAGTTTTAGGAAGTCTTCAAATTTTTACATACAACTCTACAGGAATAACTTCAAAATTCCAGGTCATGATTTTTTTTTTAACAACATGGCATTGAACTAAGAGAAGGCAACGTTAAATTTCTAATTCTTCAGGTTTACAGTTTGTGCATATTTCATGACATTGCAGAGAAGTGTGTAAGGGAAAATGACGATAAACAACTTCGCACAGTTATATTTCTTTTACTTTCTGTAGCAATGTGACCTTCAGTTTGACCGGCGCAAAGTAGAAAAGAACAGCACTAGGCCAGAAAAGGAAGGAGACAACTCTTGGCCAAACTCTTAACCGGTGAGGAGACATTGGAAGGGGCACATCGCTAGAGAAAGTAAATGAAGTATACTACACGACTTATGAATTTGACTTATAATGTATAACTTATTTTCATGATAAATGTCTATTTACTGCTAATACTTAATAAGTTAAATTTAAAATAATATGTGACAATCCTAGAACACTTCCTTACATTAGTAGTCTCGTTAATTTTAAAGTAACTTACCGAAACAATGACGAAAATTACTAAACCAAAAGCCAACGAGATAAGAACAAAACTAGAAGGTACTGCAGCCACAGTGGCTACCGATCCACAACCGAAGAAGTTGAGGAGCAAATTTCCTATAAATTCTGCTATCAATGCCTTCCATATCGTATTGGCGTTTTTTCCTACCACTTCATTTATACCGAGCGTTTCCTTAAATCTTCCGGCCATTGCGTAATAGTATCTGAAACAGAGAGAAACTTTATGTTAATTTTTTTAATAGATGATAATAGGTACTATTTTAAAATTGCAATATTCAAACAATTATATTTTCTTAAAACATTACGAAACTTAAAATTTCAAGTTACATCGTCATCATAAGGTCGTCAGTCCTAAGACTGGTTGTACCTCCACTTTTTCCTACCCTGAGCTAATCTTCGCATTTCTCTAAAACTAGAACAACCCACATCCTTAACTATTTGCGAACAGTAATCTAATCTACGTCTACCTCTACCCCTCTTAACTCCCGTTTCTGCCTCTAATATATCTCTGACTGGACTTTCATGCCTAAAAAGGTGTCCTACTAACCTATCTCGCCTATTTCTTATTGACTTCCATAGATTCCTCTATTCTCCTATTCTTTCTAATACCTCTTCATTTCTAACCTTCTNGCAATATTCAAACAATTATATTTTCTTAAAACATTACAAAACTTAAAACTTCAAGGTACATTATCATCATAAGGTCGTCAGTCCTAAGACTGGTTGTACTTCCACTTTTTCCTATCCTGAGCTAATCTTCGCATTTCTCTAAAACTAGAACAACCTACATCCTTAACTATTTGCGAACAGTAATTTAATCTACGTCTACCTCTACCCCTCTTAACTCCCGTTTCTGCCTCTAATATATCTCTGACTGGACCTTCATGCCTAAAAAGGTGTCCTACTAACCTATCTCGCCTATTTCTTATTGACATTCATAGATTCCTCTATTCTCCTATTCTTTCTAATACCTCTTCATTTCTAACCTTCTCTATCGACGGTATGATCATCATTCGCCTATAACACCACATTTCGAACGCTTCTAACCTTTTCTTTTCCGTTATGCCCACTGTTCATATTACGCACCCGTACAGCGCCGCGCTCCAAACATACACCTTTAACAATCCTTTTCGAATTTCTAAATTAACCGTTCGCGAGCTTAGAAGTGACTTTTTTTTATTAAGGCAAGTCGACCAGCGCTATCCTCTGCTTTATATCCCTAGCGCTCCTTCCATCCTGACTTATCTGACTTCCTAGATATCTAAAATCAGCCACTAATTTTTCGTCTCATATCTTTATAGTCGCTCTTTCCTTGTATACCAGTATTTTTGTTTTACTTTTATTTATTTTCATCCAATAGTATTTTGTCAGTACCACATTCATTTTATTTAAAGCTATCTCTAACTCCTCCTTATTATATGCTAATACTGCTATTGTTCATGTTACATATATACCTAGAAAATTAATAGGGTCTCATCAGTTATATTACATAAATATAATTGCAATAAAATCAAAGGATAACGTAAAAGCAATAAAAAGGGTTTATTGAAATGAATTATTGTTCTTATGCGACCGCAAGCCAACGAAGCGTAACCAATTGCGTACGTGCACCACCACTGCTTCCTGTGGGTGGTAGATGAGAAGTACAGGAAGTTCTGTCCGCTACGCCGCAACGGTATTGGGATGATTGAGGATCGAGTATCATTCTCTCTATTTGTCCCATCTACATCAGTCAAACAATTTTGACACATACCACTGAATTTTTTTTAAACTTCTAAAAGAATTAAAAGCCAATTATTTCTTTCCTTAGTTTTTGATTTTGTAGTCGTCACTTTCTATAATCATGGGTTGTATACGTTTTTCAGATAAGAATATATCCATTGATTATTTATTATTATACAATGAGGACGCATGGGTTGAACAAATTCATTTAAAATTCAGGTTTGTTTTTTTTTTAAAAAATACAAAAATACTTGATCACGTCGACCTTTATTTTTGACTGCGGTTTTATATGGTAAATTCAAGTATACAGAGTGGCCCAAAAATAAACGACTACCATCGACTTTATTCTTTCAAATGGAACCACCCAGTTTTTTGGACATTTTTGAATTCTGAATTGAACTTTAACTATGTTTCATGTACTTAGACCAACTACAAAATTATATAATACCCAGATTAACTGCCCTTTACCCAAATGCTGAGAACCCAAATATATCAGCAGATTCGATATGGTTCCAACAGCTCCATCCCCCACTATTACTTTAACAATATATTCCTAAATAGGTGGATCGGAAGGAGAGGTGTTACCGAATGACCAGCTAAATATCCAAACCTGACCCTACTAGATTTTTATGTATGCGGTTAGAATTAGCGCTGAAATACAACAAATACAGCCGCAAACCTTAACTAAAATGTTTTCAAGATCAACTTATCTTTTGCCAGAAAGTTAATATCATCAATAAGAACATTTACTTAAATAATTTATTGTTCTACTGTTTAATAAATTTTCACAAAACAATCGCCTCAATTTTAAATGTATTTGTCACAACTTTCCTAAATTTGAAAGAAACTTATCGATAACTACTGACATTAGGTATAGGAATGCTACATGAAACATGGTTAAATATAAATTCAATGCAGAATTGAAAAATGTCATAAAAACTAGGAGCTTCCATTTAAAAAAGTAAAGTCGGTGGTAGTCGTTTATTTTTAAAACTCCCTGTATACATGAATTTACCATGAAAAAAACCGCAACGTAAAATAAAGACCAACGTGTCCGAGCGTTTTTCCAAAAAACAAACCCCTGAATTTTAAATAGATTTGTTCCAACCCATGTATCCTCACTGTATAAGTTAGTAAGGAAAAATTGTAAGTTCCTAAGATTTTTTAAGAAATTTAAAATACTTAAGCTCTACTACATATGAATATTTCGAAGTGAAAATTGGAGAAATTTTATTTTTCATAACAAAAAAGGTGAGCTATCTAATAAGTACCTACGTAAAAATAAAACAACCTTTTATAAAAAAAAAAATACAACGTGTAATTATACAACACGCTACTGAAGTGAAACTTCTTCAAACGCACAAACATACCGGGATAGGGGGTTAAGGAATTGGTTTAATGGTATTATTTGTACACTATGCTTCGCACGGGTGCAATTCTGATAGTAAATACACTATAGAATGTCTTTATATCCAACAATCACAGCTTTTTTATCATTAGACAATACAAACCGGCCGGTACCGCATTTTAAGTCTGTAATGTCTTCGAAAATATTCATTTAAATTACATGCTGTAAAGGGCCATATTAATTAAATGCACAATGTATTTAAAAGTACTTAATTGGATAAGGATTAATGCTGTATTGCTTAAAATCGTTTCGTAAATAAGCCATTATTTCTCATAAAAAGTAAAGAATAAAAAATGGTTATTGTAAGTTATCCCTAAGAAGTAGACTTATACCATCGCGGACTTTTTTGTAGACCTTTTTAAGGTATACAATACTGTACAATATTATTTTGATTTATCTCGTAGGGTTCAGCCAGCGTTTGCAATGTAAGCGCAAAAAAATGTGTTTATTTACGACATCACATTACAAACCTCTAACATTATCAGTGTTTCTCTACTATATTATGCATGTATTATTCTATTTAAAAAACCGCATTAAAATCCGTTGCGTAGTTTTAAATAGGGACAGACAGCGGGGGAAATGCGTTGCATGATTTCGTTACATAGCAACTCGCATGAAACGAACATACCTTACCGTGCGTAAATAAGTTTCACTTCAAAAATCAGAAAACAATTTGTTACAAATACTTAGGTATATTATTAAACTAGTCGAACCGCTTGTTTGTAGTTAATATCTAGCCTGTCATAATCTTCTGCATCGACCTTATTTGCTTACACGTACATTTATTATTTACGTTAATGCACTTCATGTTCTTTGATATTGTTCACATTCAATTTTATCCATGTTTCTATAAAAAGTTCCATTTAATATTTATTTAACGTGCGTTATCAAGAACAAAAACATTCTACCACGTTTTTCCAATTTCCACTGAATACTAATAACAAAAAGTAATATGTCTAACGAATTACAAGATTTGTATCACCAAGTAGTAAATTATTGAACAGCTGCCTGCGACCTCGCGGATTTAATCCATTTGTAAATCTACCATATACCATATACAATGTAAACATGTTTCCTTTTAACTATTGTAGTAGAAAAAAACTAGAACCACCTTGATAAATAATTAATTGAAGAAGTTTAAAGCAAATATCATGTGCCATTTTTTTTAATGCATTTTAGAGCATCTATCTAAAGACACCTCATTTTATAATAACGCTTGTGAAATAGAAAATAAATAAATTTTTGAGAGGGTGGGTTGAAAGATTATTTTTTAAAAATTGCCTAATTTCTGCTTTTGGGTCAACAATTTACGTTCGTACCTATATCAACAGACAGGTATACCTTAAGTAAGAGGATGTTAGAGATGTAAGGCACTAACAGACTGACAGACAGACCAAAACTACCTACTAAATTATACGGTTGGCTTCAGATGTACAAAATGCTCATCAGAATTAAACGAAGTTCTTCTAAATGTGTAGTATACAGGGTGTAACAGAGGTAAGTGGCGAGCTCTGCAGGATATAAACTATAGTACAGTCGAAATAAGAAGGCAAAGTCCCCAATAAATAATGCACAACAAGGTCCATTTAAACAAGATATATTTAAATGGACCTTGTTGGAGCATACGTAATCCTATAATGTAGCATCGTGCTACAGATGGCGTTTACCGCGCCATTTGTGGTATTTTCCAAATAAACAATACATGAGCAAAAAATGCAAAATAAATACTACACTGATAGTGGTAATCACTAGCTGATTAAGGGCAGCGTTGCGGCACGTATTCCTCTACCAGGGCCGGAATTAGTTTTACTTGTACTTTCAACTACGTTTTTCTCGAAAACGGTAAACTGTTAGATATAAAATATTTACTTAATTTTCATATTTTATAATGTTCTATCACCTCCTGCAAACTTGGCACTTATTTCTATACAACATGTATATAAATTGGAATGATATTTCGTTGTCAAGGAAGCACATAAACGTGGTTTAATGAAGGTTATAAATTGTCAACAGTAATTGAAACATAAACATCGTTTTAATTACACCATTGCGCTTACACAATCAATAAAACTT